AACGTCTTTGGTTTGGCGGGGTAAAGCGGTAATCGCAAAGTCAAAGTCCTTCTTTTTCTGTGGACTAAAAAGACAATTTGAACTGAACTTTCATAGATCATATTGCATATTTTGTTTGTTTGGGACTTTTTGTTCATTGTGAATTCATAGGGGGGGTTAATTAAATGGATATTTTTGTTAGGGTAGCAGCGTACGGAGCCTTTATCAGCGCTTTGTTTGTCATCTATTTTCTTTTTGCGCTCGTGCTCCTTTTTTTCTGTTTTGAATTAGGCCTATCCTAGAACCCACAATGCAACAAGGAACATTTACAAAAATGTGGACTACAAAACGATTATCGATTACATTTTTTTGTAACCGATTATTATTTAATGAACGAGTACTCGTTTGCACCCCTAGTGTGAACGCAAACAGCCGCATTTTTCGCGCGGACTTTCTCCGTAATTTCTCCGGCCATACCCCTAGTATTTAATCCGCAGAAAGTCTGAGTGAGCTGATGTCTGAACGCAGCAGCATATACTCCAGAGATTTCAATTTGAGCCAATGGGACAACGTTTATATACAGTCACTGCCTAAAGTGTCTGTACATGACCTCTACGATCTCCATGCACGTAATTAAACGGCTGCATTATGTTTTCTGTTCCTCAGTGTGTTGTTCTCCTCTCTTTTGTGGATGTTGTCATTCCATTGGATTACACATAGCATTGATATAAAGGCAAATATTCTCATTATAACGTTGTGTAGCGGACTCTGTTGCTTCGGCCGCTACTTCCGCATTGTTTATTTACGCCACGTCTTACCTCAGGAAATCCCCCGACCCCCCTCCCCTCTGACAGGGATAGTCCCCCGCTGTGAGGAGCATTTGTGAACGGCTAGGTCGGGAGAATCTCCGGAGAAGTCCTCCTGTACATATCTAGATATTATCCGGAGTGCAAAACGGCTTATGTGATGCAGCTTGCTCTCTCACCATATGGAGTAACCTGTTTAATCCCTATTGTCCCCGAACTGTGGAGACCTGCATGTGTCTTGAGTATTCACACAACCTAGGAAGATAAATGATTTTTTTTGTTGTTGCCATATATAACTCTGCTTCTTGTCTGGTAACCAGCTTCATGTCATGCTTGACCTCAGCAGTTGTATGTCTTATTAACTCTGATGTAGATAATGTGATGCAGCCTGCTGGCAAAACGGGTTTAGAAAACCGCTAGAATATGAAAGCAATTGGAGGCATCTTGAGTCTCAAAGAATAGCTAATTTGACAGTAGCCCATTGTGCTCAGTAGCTGGCTTTAAAAAAGGCTCATATTAAAATGTGAGTGGTATGGAGCTATTTTCAGTTCCAACTGAGGGCCTGATTCAACAAGAATGTATAAAGTATTACGTATTTTGATGCCAGACAGGTTTCACCGTTTAAAATATGCGTCCTCTCTCAATGGAACAAGCAAAGGCAATCTTGGGGGTGTGGGACTCACACCCTCGTGTCTACGGTGGCCTTGAAGTGCAAAACTCGATGACAGCAAATCATGAAACACGACAATTCAGAAAAAACAACGACAGAATCAGAACACAGCGATGAAATCAGATGTTTTTATTTTATTTTGATGTTGCGTTTTTAGATTTGCCATTGATTTTTCTTCTTATTTGTTTCTTTTTGTTATTTGTCATAGTGTTTTGCACTTCAGAGCATATATATATATATATATATATAACATACATATTGGCCCCAGATTGTCTCCACAGATGTGGTAGTGGTGTCCATCTGCTGACACCTGACTGATTTTAACCCTAGTTATATTAATAATTTAATGTCAAAGTAATTGTTGCAGACTTTAAATGCAGACCATTTAAAGTGGTAGAATTTGTTTTCATGATGACTGGAAAGTTTGCCCATGACACCTCTTAAAAATACCGCTGTGCAGTTATCACCTGGTCTAGGCAGATGGTTTTTGTCTCAATTCAAACTGCTTGTGGTTGTTAGCACTAGTGTTCCTGAATTAGATGGGTATTTTCTTTGCAATGATGCTTATTTGCATACAAAGGGGACAGTTTTTCCACAAATGGCTGTGTAATGGCTCATTTCAGTAGGCACAACCATCACTGACCCTGTTTGCTCTGCAGTGCAATTAGGGGTGATTCATCTTCACTGTTTAGCGAGGCCAAAAGCAGCACAATCCTTTTGTTAGGCCTTTAGTGTAAGTTGGAATGCTTGACCCTGATTCTTGGTATTGGACTCAATTCATGTGTATCCATACACTGCAATATTTTATTAAAGGTTTGGAAAAAACCTTCTCCAGTAATGACAGTTTAATCAATCTCACTGTGTTGTAGGATTATATGTATGAAGTATACTTTGTGCATGCATGGCTTTGTTGTCAACATTTTAGATCATTCATTTGAGATAAGAGCAGTATCTTGTACTTTCAGGTCCTGTTCTCTGCAAATGCCGCAGTGAGCACCTGGTCTGGTGACATTGTGTCCTTGGCTGAGGAATTCACACACTTAACCTAGAACATCACCCATTTTTAGACCTGAAACATAACTCAAATGAGTGACTTCTAGTGAAAGCCTAACAGATGGCTTTAAAAGAGTATTTTTAACAACAAGGATCAAAACAAACGGACATGGAGCCCCTCATAGGTATCCTAAAAGAGAAGTTAGCTGCTCACATTGCCTCCATGACAAAGAGCTGAAAAGACACCTACAGTGCATGTAAGGATTGTGAGACCTGCCATTATTTGAAAGCTAAACTCTAACCTTTGACACACTGTTCTCCATCTGCCAGGAGTCTTACCCTTACCAGTATAGTCTTGAAGGAGAAACAAATGTTACTGTGCCAGCTCACCTGAATCCAAGTACAGTTGTGGTCCAGAGCATATTTTATTTTTTGCTGCTGACTGTGCAGCCTAGGACAGCAATGCTGTTGGTGAGTGACTGTTGCTCTCTTGCTTTCCTGACATCATTTTTCTGCTTGCCCAGGGAATTATCGTCTGTATCCATCAGACTACATCTGCTATGGTAGAGAAATCCCTGTGGGAAAAGGCATAACCCATACAGATATATTGCCTTGTGAAAAACTTTCAAAGTTCAAAAGAATTCCACCATGGTCAGACAATTGGGAACTCACTTCGGGTACAATGTGTGGTGTCTTGTTGTGGGCAGCTGCCGGGTTTTACTCCTCTGAATCAGTTTATTTTTTGAGGCAGAGATAGAGTGTGAAGAGCAGAGTTTATTATGTTGTTGCAATTGTGTCCAGTCCAGGCACCAGCATAAATCCTAGGATACTAGCATAGATCCTATTATATGCTGTAGATGTGAATGGACTTTTTTTCTGGTCGACAAATAAAGCCTGCTGTGAACATTTTTTGCAGTGATCTTTGCATTTACAGTTTTTGGCAGTTTACTGACCTTTCGCGAATGATGAAGTTAGTACAATTATGTGCTGCAGACATTCAAATCATAGTGAAAGAAGGACTGACGCTGAGGTCAAAGCAAGTTCACCTTTAAGGGATGTTTGGGTATTTTTCCAGTGGGTTTGTATGAGGTACTTGTCAGTAGTAAGTGTATTAGCCACAGGAGATGCTGGTCAGCTCGGCCCTTAAAAGAAGCCGGCCACAGAGATTACACCGCAGCGTTTGTACCACAATTTTTAGCTAATGTTAAGGAATCACTAACCTTAAAAATCAATTACAACTTAGGTGTTTGTTATATATGGAACAATTTATTTAAGCACCACTTGGTCTGTAGCGTACGAGTCGACCTAATCACTTTAAGTAACATATGTAAGATTATTAAGATTATCTGGCTGACTCAGCACAGTAATGGTTGTAGAATTAGTTATGTAAAGCTTTGTTGATGAGGTATACATTAAGCTGAAGCAGGACAGATGAAACTTGTTGAAAGAATAGGAATTAAAATGGTTTGTGCTCATTAAATTGAGTCTTTTTAAAGGATGTTTAATGTACGGTTTGAATTGACCCTTCCGTAACTACGTAGTAGTGTTCTCACTTCTCACACTTTCAACAGCAAGTCTTGCATGTTCTTTCAACAGGATCGGTTCTGGGAATGGGCAGATGGGAGATCGTGCCGCTCCTAAGTCTGCCCCAGCTGCTTGGAGATATTACGCTCCACATGTTATGATTAATAAGGCCTCCAGAACATCTCATGCTCAGTTTCAACTTGGGTATGGACCACTTAGTCACCAAGGAAGCTCTAAGATATATGTTCACATTTGCAATCTCACCTATAAGCGTAAGCAGTTACCCCCTTTGGTGACTGATGGTGCCTGCAACTGTGGTTTGGTTTTTACTTTGCTGGGAATCTTCACTGTGACCCAGATAAGCTGTTTGGCTTAGTAGTTCTTCAAATGATTTATTATTAAATATGTGTTAGCTTGATTGTTTTGTCTTTACTGCTTCAGTGATGAATATCCAGTTTAATCCCAGCCCTGCTGCTGCATGAGACCTGCACTGTAAAATGGCCTAGTTAGTTTATCCTGGCCAGTTGAGTAGCACAGCAGGTTTTAATGTTTGTGAAATATGCTCATAAACATTTGGATATGTTATTTTCCATGTACTTAATTACACTAAAAGAAGAGCCTTGTCATAACAATTTTAGTTCTTATTCTGAGTAAATCTTTATCTGGTTTCTTTTAAAAGATTCTGCACATAAATCTGGAGAAATGTGGCATGGTTTTTATTTTTGGAAGCATTCTGGTTTCTGTTTAAAGTCTAATAGTCTATCTGCATTTAGGGCATTGGCTGAATACATGTAAACAATTTCTATGAAGAACAAAACAGGCTTGAATGCAGAAGTCTTTTCCTCAACCTCCATCAGTGGTCATCTAACACCATTTAAGCTTTTGATTGATCACTACAAACCGATATCTGCAGGCAAGTGCTGCTTGCAGCTATCCTACAGACAATGTGAATTACAGTGAATTTTACACGTGTTGTATGAGTCTAACCTTTTGTCAACTAATGTTATTCTGCTCTGCTTGTCTTGTAGGTGAACCACGCAAGTTTGATCCAAACTTCAGAGGCCCGGTTCACAACAGGTAATACATATATTTATCATCATACATAGATAGATGGATAGATAGATAGATATACTGTACTTTATGTCTGTCCCAACAGTGACAGAAATTCTCCTTTGACAAGGCTCAAACATTACATTTCATTAAAAAAAATACAACACAAAGTACAGACATTAAAAGAGGACTGTTCAAAACAACAGCTGCTAAAAAGTGTCCATTTTCTTTTGTTCAGGGTGGTTATTGCAGAGGGAATGAAGGTTTTTTTGGAGATGTTTTTCCGACCAGAGGGACTATGTAACGTCTGCCTGATGGCAGTAAGTGAAAGGAGGGGGGTGAGAGGGGTCCTATGTGATCAGTGTGGCTCTCCTGATCACAGAGAGGGCAGTTTGGGATTTACCGATTATTTTGCTGACCTGATTAACTATGCGGAAGAGTTCTGTTTTGTGTGTGGTGGTGAGGGAGTTGTACCAGGATGAGGTTTTAAAAGTGAAGATGGACTGAATAAGTGATATGTAAACCAGAGTTGAAATGTGTTTGCCCAATGAAAAGTCCGTAGTTTCCTCATCAGGTGGAGGTGCTGTTGTGCTTTTTGTGTAAACAGAGTCAGCATTCTGTGAAAAGCAGAGACAGGTGTCAATCTCTGATCCCTGATATTTAACACACTGACACTGCTCTACAAGCTGAGCCTGGATTGTGAGCGGTTGGAAGAGAGGTGATGGTAATCTTTTCATGCTCCCACAGGGGCCACTATTGGTATTAGTATGACTCATTAGTAGCTTCACTTATATGTTATATATATCTTATATATATATCTCTATAAAAACACATTCAGAGACATCACTGAAGATAATATCAGGAAAAAAGATCAGTTCACCTAAATGCTTGATAGACCTGGGGGTTTACCAGAGACAGAAATCTGAATTTTTGCATAGATTTATAACTTAATACAAGTTGTGAGAGACGGACTAGGTTTTTTGGTCATTTGGATGAACTCACCCTTTAACAACAACTCGCAATCTTTTAACATCTTATTTTTACATGTTTATGGATTCTGACGATTGTATAATCCTTTTGGCAGCTACCCGTCAGGGCGCTTCTGGATTGATCATTTGTCACGCTGCGTTAATAAAGATCGAGGTCGAAGTACTGGCAGCTCTCTCCACTCCACCACACAGATCAATGGCCATAAGTCAAGCTGGTGGCTGGAGTTAGCCCAATGACACACACTATTAACCAGCCAGATACACCTAAAAGAGATGTAGTCCACACATCACCTGGACTATCTCAGGGAGAAAGTGAAATGTCTCCTGTTTCTCACCCAGATGAACAGAAGAACTACTGCTGATAAACTGCAGCCAGCTATCTGCCTCATGAAAACTACAAATCTACACCAGGCACAGCTTCTTTTTGCATGCATTTATTTAAAATGTGTTTTTTAATTAGAAAAACAATAGTAGTTAAGACAATACTCTTTTTATTCAATATATAAAAAATAAGATTAGAAAGGCTGACATATCAAATTTGGTTGAAAATGACAATTTTAGGAATATTTGAGTCAGTAGTGTTATACTCTACATTCAGAAACCAGAGGTGGGACAACCTCATTGTTTTGCAAGTCACAAATAAGTCTCAAGTCTTTGGTCTCAAGTCCCGAGTCAAGTACCAAGTAGAGACAGGCAAGTTTCCTGAGTCAAGTGCATAGCCCTAAACTTTGAATTTCCAGTCCTAAAGTTGTCCGTAGCACTCTTCATCAACAACAATGTCATTTTAACAGAGTTTTCTCTTTTTTTATGATTTAAATGTTTCTGAATTCTGTGTTTTACAATGTGTTTCATTGGATCAGATCTCGGGTTTACAGATTATTTTAGCTGATCAAGAAATAGAGAAATTATATATTTTTTGCCTTTATTTGTAAGGTAGTAATGCCTACCTACCACTGCGACCCTCTGGAACCCCCCCTTCATATACTGTAAGTGACAAAGGGGGCATGCGCTTTAGTTGCACTGTATCTTCCGTGGTTACACACTTTTAAAACTCAAGTATGTTACTGTCATAGGGCTCAAGTTCAAGATACAGTACGTCAAGAGTCATTGCCGTTAAAGTCTAGATCGAGTTGTAAGTCTTTTATGATATTGTCAAATTGAGTCCAAAATATTCAAATCTGTGACTTGGGTCCACATCTCTTTCAGAATCACAGCTAACATCTTTCAGTTTAGAGGTTTGCCCTACACACTCTCTTTAGCACAAAGAAGAACAGAACTTTTGCAATAAAACCAACGTGTTACCGGAAGCTTTTTCTTGCCGATTTAGTCATTTCTTGAGCTAATTTAGGCTCTCATCTCTTTTATGTTCAGTGTCAGTTTGGCAGGCTGCTGTGAAGGCATGTTTCCGTCCTCCTGTGCCTCTTTATCCCACCCTCTCCAGCCCATTTCACTGCTACAGCTGGGTGAAGGCTCCAAGGATACTTTGATGTTTCTGTGGCTTAGAGGCTTTTCTTAATGAGAACTGGGAGAGAACCAACTCTGTGGTCGTCTATTCATGCGAGCTCGATGCTTAAATGAAGAAATGGTGTCCGTGTTTATTGAGCAGTCCTCTTAATAACAGACAAAGTGTACATGGTGTAAATTCAATCTGGCTCTAGCTATGGAAAATATAATGCATAGATAATATTATCCACAACTGCACAACCTAAAGCCATCTCATAAGTCTAAATTACATTAAAGGGTTTTTCTTTGTGCAGTCCAAAAATAATGAACTACAACTCAGGTGTTCAACAGCATACATTAAAATGTTCCCGCAGGATTTTTTTTTTGTTAGAAAAACTTCCCATTTGTATCAGTTTCCTTCTTTGCTTCCTTGACTCTGACCCCCAATTTCCACAAACTGTAAGCACACTGTGGTCCGTCAGCGCCACGGTTTTGGTCTGCCGGACGGCGGCCTTGCCCCCCTGGATCCGTTTCTAGAACGTGCGCGCAGCCATGAGCAGCTGTACACACATTACAGGAGAAATACAAGATCACGCGGGAATAAAGAACAAAACATGCAAACAACATGTTACTTTGTCTTTCTGAGGTTGCGTTGTGGTTCGTTTGGTGCCAATTTTGACTTAATGTTGATGAAGTGATGGAAAATACGACCGTGAGTCTGTATATTGTGTTTTATTTTGAAATTGGTCAACGCTTTGTGTTTCTTTGTCTGACTTCCTGTATGGATTGTTAAATGTTGTCCCGCTTGACGCGTGCCTGCAGCATACTCTGCCCAAAGTAGACTTGCAGCGTATTCGAAATGGAGACAGGCCGCGGCGCTCGCTGTGCAAACACAATTATTAACCAGAGGGTCAGCGTAGTGTGCTGCGCTGACGGATAGCGGCACACGCAGTATGTGGAAAATGGCGGTAACAAATTACCTTTTTGAGTGCAAATGTGTAAAAGTAATCCCACACTGATACTGTCTGTTACAAAGCAGGGCACATTCACACCCAATCACAACCATGCTTTTTTTGTGGCACTGCTGCAATCTATGTCACCTTGGCTCCCATAGAATAGCCCCGCAAGTATAATACTGACATGGAAGTTCCTATTGTGCTGACAAAGCATGTTGATGTTTAGTTTGTTTTGTTTTGACATTCAAAGCAGCATTGCCTGACAAAGCAAGCAGGGCGGTGCATGGTGCATGGTGCATAGTGCATGTGAAACTATGTGTAGGTGACTTCTGAGGTTTCCGATTGAGGCCAGGTTGTAGTCCGATAAGATGTGCAGTTTGCCTTCATTTTGTGGCCTGCTTTGCTGCGATAAGGGAACAAAGCTGAGTTGTTTTTACTCTCCTCACAATTTGTCAGCCTCCCTTCAACACTCATCCTCACATGCCTCAAAGGTGACTTTGTGTTAGCACAGTGGTGCTGTGTCTGCACTTTGTCTTAATAATGCAGTGTGTCTATATGAGGCAGTGGGAAAAACAAGACAGATCTACTGTAACAGTCGCATTATGTTGGAGGGGAGGCAAGGTCAGCTTCAGACTCCCACCTCTCACATATATCCCTCTGTGGTCACCTGTGTTATGTGGCTGAGTGCTTGCTAACTTGTCTACATGCAAAAGGAAGGAGAGGGACTCAAAGGCAAGGAATGCAACCATCACCATGGCCACGCAGACGGCTTTTCTCTTTGTTCTTTTTTTTATTAATTGAATGAAATGGCACTCCCTTGTTTCCCTTCGTTAACAATAAGCACAGATAATTTCAGCAACTGTTCTGCTTTTTTTGTGTGGCAGGTTATCTTTATGCTTCTCAGATTTACCGTCTTCCCTGAGCAGAGCTGTGCCCACTTTATCTGCCTTTGTTTCTCTATTGTCTCCCAAACACACCTGTAAGTGTTGATTTCAAAGTAACATAGTCCTTAAGCCTAATTTCATTTGAACAAACAACTCCTTTTATTATTTTTGGTCATTAAGTCGCATCTGTTGGAGGCTTTGGCCTGTGTTAGGATGTTTGCCTGAAGGCTTAGAGCAGACAGCCAATGAGTCAGTCATCTGCTCTAAATGTGCTCCCTGGGTTATGAGTGCAGATATAACGTTCAGAATTTTCCAGGTATCTTTTTTTTTTTCTGGAATGAGAAGGCGTTTTAGCAGCCCTGCTGGGACTGACAAGACTCCCAATCCTCTGTATTGCTAACTTCAGCAAACCAATGTACCTGGAGCCATATGTTAACACAGATTGCAGACTTTAAAGCTGTAATTAATGCAGGACCATAAAAAGAAGCTCTCACAAACAGTCGAGGATCATTTGCAATTCACGCTTTAATAAGTAACACGGATTACCCTAATTTGAAGATGCTACACCCGGCGTATAGTTTAGATAGTAATTGGTTCTTGTTTGCAGCTTAATTTAAATGCAGCAGTGTTTGTTAAAGCTGTTATTTTATCCTGTTCTGTATGGGTTGATCCTCAGCTGATCCCCTCTGTGTGCAGCAGTGTGCTCGTCTCTCTTGAAGGTCTGCCACTGAAATGGTATTTGAAAGAACAGCGTGCATATGTATGGACCCATGTTAGCATCCTGCATACAAAACAAGGACAATCAAGTCTTCAAAGAACTACACAGAGGAAATCTCTCTGAGCTCCGGCCTCCTTTTGACATTGGCCTTGCTCCTGTGGTTGAAAGGAGAGAGGAGAGTTCGAAAGCAGGAGGAAATGAGGGTCTCGAGTCAATTTGTGTCGGGTATGGTGTTTCAAGAAGGCTATGCATGTCCCTTGTGTAGTACTACTGGGCACAGCAGATTGAGCTTGGCTTTAGTCAAGGCTGGGCTCACAGCACTTATAGGCTGAATGATTTTGAAGGAGGGTTGAGAAAGGGGATGGACTGACAGCTACAGTCAGGGTGGGGAGCAGGGAAGGAAAGCTAGTTATGGTAGACTGTAAAGGAAGACTCAGAGAGAGAGAGAGAGACGGGGGGGGGACTCTGGGGTGTTGCTTTAAAGTAGCAGACTGGGCCTACTGTGGAGAGATCTTCAAATAGCTGCCTCTGTGCCTGTGGGACAGTCAGTTCGGGGTGGGGGGGGGGAGATCAGAGTCTCATTAGAAAGTCAGTAGAGCTCTACCAAAGCTTCTCTGAAAAAAGAAATCAAGTCAAAGACACCTTATTATTGTAATGCCTAGCAGCAGTCCTGCACCTAAATGAAGACCTCACTCACACTTTCCATACAAAACTTTGCCTCACGTTTTTTTGACTTAATAGTTAAACACGTACATACACACTTAATCTCCTTGCGTCGAGGTGGAAAATTCCCCATTGCCCCCTGGGAGCATATAAGTGCATGTGTTTGCTTATGATACTGATTTGAAAGTCGTCCTTCAGCAACAAACTGTTCAGAAATAACCTTGTTTTCTTTGGTAAACATGTTCGTTTCCTGTCTCCCATTTGTTCCAAGGAGCTGCACTGATGTTGTTTGCTGCGTTATCTTCATCATTGTCATCCTCGGCTACATCGCTCTGGGTACTGTGGGTGAGTTTGACACATCGCTGCTGATTACATCACACAAAGCTTCATAATAGGCACACAACTGCACAAACCTAAACACGCACGACAGTAGTTATGTGTTCCAGTGAAGATGTGGTCTAGAGATGTGAACTGATCGCTGGCCTGTTTGACGGTTAAAAGTTACAAACGGAAAGTCACCTCGAAAACCTAAATCAGCCACAAAATAGGAGACATGCTTATCTTCACAGGATGCCTGACACTTGAGGAGAAATAATCCATATTTTTGTTTGTCATTTTAAATATTCAAAATTTCATGGTGGGTTGTTCAACAAATTGCCTGATTGTTAAACGTGTGGGGGAGCTGAGAAATGTCGCTTCCCAAGAGAATGGCTATTCTTTTAATAGATGTCCTCACCAAAACATGCAGCTTGTATTGCTCACTCTTAAAGGTTTTTTTTTTTTTTTACTTGAAATGATCTGAATGTAAAGCTGTTTAGAACTCCTTGAAGAATTTATGAGCGGTGATTTCTCTTCCTTGTCATTTCAATCAGATTTTCTTCATACAAGTGAGTTCACTGAAGTGTGGAAGAGGTCATATTATCTGTGACTGACTACAGTCCTGTGGATCTCCTTTTGAGCCCTGATTTTCTTGCACTCTTGATTTTACGGTTTTTCTTTCTCTCCTTACCCCTCAGGATTTATGTATGTGTACATGTATCTTTTTCTTTTAATAGCTTTATTCCTATCCATTGTTTTCTTCGCTGCCATTTTTCTAAATCTTTTTGTTTTACAAAATCACATCCTGTTTAATATCCTGTTGAGCACACCTTTGTTTCTCCATCGATCAGTCAGATATTTTTTATATACATCACTAAGTGTATATATAGCAATATATATACCCCCCCGTAATTGACGCCGCATCTACACCCAGACATGGGATGGACTCACTGCTTTCCAATCATTTAAAAGAGCAACATGACAATGGAAGTACCATCAAGCATGTCAGAATTTCTCAGCTTCACCATCCTTGGTGTGTCAAAGACTTGTAGACTGCCTTTGTTGTGCTGTTCAGCAAGCAGTGTTTCATTGGCTGACAAGGTGAAAGGCCTAAACACTGTGTTGTTCAGGTTGGCCAAACAAATGAAAAACATGGATTGCCAAGTAAATTGAAATCTGTGGTTGCTGCTACTTCTATCCAGTGAAATAGAACAAACAGATTCAACTGGATAGATTTTGTTGTGTGTTCTTTATTGGTGTAGATGTTGCTTCTTAATTGTCGTGAATAAATGCAGTCCTCTAAATGTGTTTGTTTTTTACCCTTTGGTTACTACACAGAGAGGAGGTAGAACATGACACTGTCAGCTACAATAGTACTACTGTCTTATAAGATAAGATATACTTTATTGTCCCCAAAGGGAAATTTGTCTTGGACAGGAGTCTGTGTCGCAGCAGTGCGGTGCCACCGAAAGGTCTAGTATATAGCTGAAAGTAACAAATCCAACAGTTGTGATTTATTTTCAGCCTGGATCCACGGCGACCCCAGGAAAGTCGTCTATCCAACAGACAGCCACGGCCAATTCTGTGGCCAACAAAACAGCCCTAATGCGTAAGTGGGAAAATATCTTAATGTACTGTTAAAAGGAAAAGTAGTGATCCTCTATTTGTTTGTCAGCTTGATTCATAATTGTCTTTACAGAAAAAAAATGGATTTGACCACAATACACTCAGATGGCTTGCAACTATTTGCGGCAGGCTTCACTACAGAGTGCATACACTCCCTGTCTCTGAGTGTGTGCGTGTGCATAGATGCTTGCTGATGGAAAAAAAAAAAAAGTAATCTGAATCATCTCAAAGTCTCCTTCCTTTGTCTCTGCAGAAACAAAGCCATATTATTCTACTTCAACATGTTGAAATGTGCCAATCCTGCAGTTTTAATTAACCTCCAGTGCCCTACAACCCAGGTAAGAGGCCGAGTGAAGCCCCTCCCAGCAGCTTATTTTGACACTGCTTCATGTTGCCCTCAGACTTTTTCACGCTTGATTATGCAAGATTGATGGGATCTCTCATTAAGAGGATGTGTTGCTTTTCTGCAGCTCTGTGTCTCCAAGTGCCCTGACAGATTTTCCACTCTGCTGGATGCGTGGAATACCAAAAACTGGGAATATTACAAGAAATACTGCAAGCCGGGCTTCGAGATTGGCAGCAAGGTGAGAGACTATTCGACTATTTTCAATGAGAAAAAATTCATGTTTTTTTAACCCTGTGAGTGTTTTGGATGGCTCCTTTTATTAATGGAGACCAGGTAATATTATTTGCCCCTTACCTTTGCTGATCTTCTAGACAAATAATGTGCACATGGATACCTGTCTCATGAATTTCATTCAACAGTTTATATGAATTTTCTTTTCCTAAATGTAGACCTTCTGCTTCTGTTGTAGACACTCTTTATAATAAAACAAGAAACTCATCCACTTTGTAGTGCTCTCACAGCCGTCATTAGTTTTCTGTAAAGTCTCTGTGATGCAGAGCTCGTTGGAATCGATTGTACTTTGAGAGACAGGTGAAAGTGAGCTCACATCCACTGATCCACATCACAGCTCTGTTCTGACGGCTGGCAGGAGTCCAGTGATGGTGACGTTGGCATGATGCTGTGTAAGAACCGGAGAGTGAGATGCTGTGTGGGAGCACCTCACAACTCAGGCGTAATGTTTGAACTGAATCATTGATTTTCCTTCCCACATCATCTAAAGCATGAAAGTGTTACATCAGACAGAATTCATCTGTCTCTGTCATTATAATCACAGGAAATGTAGACATTTCTGAAGTTACATGCATGAGAAGGTTGTGTGTGTGTTTTCAAAATTATATTAATGTAGCAATAATGTAGTATGTTTTCAGGAATAGAATAGAATAGAATAGATCTTTATTGTCCTCCAGAGGTTGACATTTGCCTTATAGTCTCCTAGATACCTAAAACCATATAAAAGCAGTCAATAACAGACAACATAGCAGCTAAGTTAACACATTAAAACCAGTTCATATCATGGTTCAGATTTTATCAGACATATTGTAAGCTGGAGGATGTTTACTGCACTTGGGATAAATGACTTCTTAAATACATTTGTGGTTGCCAGAGGAACTCTATAGCGCCTCCTGGAGCTCAGAGGCTGAAACTGGCAGAAGAGAGGATGGACGTTATCTGCTAGGATACTCCTCGCTTTCTTCCTCGTCCTATCAGCAAATAGTTGAGACAGAGGCTTTTCTGGTTTGCCCACTATTAAGCCTGTCATTGACACAATCTCAGAGAGTTTCTTCTTAAATCTGCAGCTCAAGTGACCGTAGCAGGCAGGAAGATCGAAAGTTAAAGATATAATATGTAGATTCCATCGCCAGGGGGCTCTCAATCAATACTACTATAACAAAAGATGACGTCGAGGCTGACGGGGAATCATGGGAGTTCTCTCTGCTACCCCTGCTACTGAAACTGACTCAATTTTTTGGTGCCGATAATAACTTATTTTATCTTGTCTTCATTAATTTCTAATAACACAAACATGTTTCAAGGTCTGCACATATGCATTCACATAAACAAAGTAAAATAAACAAAGCAGAAAACACACGATATACTTCTTGTGTACCTATCAGATAATTGTGTTCATTATTTGGCTCATGAGACTGAACTGAACATTTATTGTATTTGGGTCAAATCATTTTGTAAGAAATCAGTCTCCTCCACTGCATGTCTAACTAATCATATTGTATTTAATGACTTGTTAGAGATGAATCTCTGGTTTCCAATCCTTTCAATCATCGCCTCGTATGTTTCCATTACAGACAATTGCAGAAGTCATCCGAGACGAAGACTGCCCGTCTATGATCGTGCCAAGCAGACCTTGTGAGTGCATCGCGATCATCCTAAACACTGTTAGCCACATAAACTCATTTTTAGCTCTAATCGAGAGGTATTGTATTCACATGAGAATGAAAATAAGCTCTGTTTTTCAGATTATTGCAGAGAAACACAACCAGCTCAACTCATAATTTATAGATCATTATCTCGATTCAGAAAAACTGTTTTTTTTTTCATGAATATTAACACTTAATCTGAAATAATTATCTCATTCACTCAGAAAAACAGATCTAAAACAATCATAACACGTACCTTGTAATTCGGAGAACATTGCCATCTATACAGAAACACAGAGCCAATTTTATTGTCTCATGTGAATGCAGTAACCTTCTGTAGTTCTACAAACCACAAAATTGTTAAAGACATGTTTGAAACTGTGTTTCAGTCCTTCAGCGGTGCTTCCCTGATTTCATTACAAGAAATGGAATCTTAACCGTAGCCAATCAGACCATCTTCACAGACGGTGACAACAACAAGAGAAGTGTCAGCGACCTGAAAGATGCTGCCAAGTAAGATCTGCCTCCCTGAAATGTGAATCTTTGTCCTTGTTGTACAAACAGCTCTACAAGTAAAGAAAATACATTCAAAAAATCACATCCCAAAGATAAGGAATTAAAAAAAAACAATATCCTGGAACATGAAGTGTTTTTTTAAATCTTATATTGTCCATAGGGCTGTCAACTCTGCACCCAGAGAGCTCTGGACTGATGTTAAAGGGTAGGAGGACATGTGGGCATGTTACTGATGTCACTGATGCCCAAGAATGTGTCCAAACACATTCAAAGTATTTTGCATGTCAATTGCATGAAAATGCAGCTTACCTTTTAAGTTCCACATTAAAACTCAAGGAGTACCTACAAGCTTACAACGTCTGCTTTGTAAATCTATGCTATCGATGAAGACCGACTGAGATAGCAGAAGTTTGACGAGCATTAGAAATCATGTATCCATCCCAGCGAGCTGATATTCTCAACATACATGATTCTGTGTTTGCTGTGATCAGCTTTTATTTGCCCTGACCTCATTTGAAATTATAATGTGCTTTAATGCCTTTTTTTTTTTTTGTAGCCAAGTTACGGCCGTGCAGCGAGGAGTGGAAAGGTCTCAAAAATGATATACTTCAGCTTGTTAACCTCTGCTGTAGCTTTAAGTAGACTAACCGTCTTGCTTGTGCTCTTCATCCCAAATCTGTTCCTGCATCCCTCCACCTCTAAAAGTGGACAGGAATAAGGACAGATTAATAATATTTAGGCATATATCAACCTAAAAACCCCATCTAGTCATCTGCTTCTTCTGTGTGTCTAATGAAATGGAGAGTTAAGTGGCGCCCCCTGGTGTTCATTAGCTTTGCTCTTGTTGTTTAATATGATTGCAAGATTGCATAACAAAGCTGGATATGATCCAAAATCTCTCCTGTGAGCATGTCTCAGTGACCTTTAGGGAGCTGAATTAAAGCGCCTCATCACAGGGTTGCTTTCAGAACTGCCTGTTACTGTTGTGTTTGTCCCCTAGCAGAGTTAGCAGACCTCCTCTCCCCTCTGTCTGCGCTGTTGAGATTCATCTGAGTCATAGGGCAGTGCATCTGCAGTACGGCTTTGCAGTCGTTCTTTTCTGACAATGTTTGAAGTGTTGCAGTTTCATTTTTCCTGAAGCTTTTTGCTGAAGGGAGAAGCTAAATTTAAGCTACCCATTGTCACTTAATAAGACTGTGCATTAATTTAATTAATCCTAATGAAGTTTAAAGTGTATAGTGCAGGAATCTCCACATCAAAGCCTCCACATCAAACCCAGACTCATTTGTGTTTGGTTTGGAAAAGATGAGTCAGGATCCCTCGAGATATTGGGTCACTTGAGGCTGTACACATCTTACATAAGGTTGAAGTTGATATATAAGAAAATACAAACATTACCATTCATACCAAATCTGTAATGTTAAGTATTTGAAGCAATTCGTTTGTTTTGTTTGACTACTACACATCTACCTAACTGTGAATACAAATCACCTGGATCTTGATCTGACAGCTGAATGTGCTTTACCGGATGGTCATCTGTATCACCTTTAATAACATGCCGCTAAACCATCTGCTAAACTGCCGCCATACTAAAGGAACTACAGCTCAAAAGCACTTCAGCAACACTAATTCTGTTTGTAGCTCCTTGTTAGGGGACTTATTTTCAGACCCTCATAACATACAGTAAGTAGGTCTTAAAGCTGAGAATATCAAAAACATTTTAACATTGCATTCTTCGGTTTGCAGTGCGAGCACTTAAGGTAAATGAAGTGTCAAAAAATGTTTTTGAGAATCCCTAGTGACCAACTTTTGGCAGTGGCAGTGACTTGACACAAACCTGCCAAAGCCCCCTCTCTGGGTTCTTGTTAAATCCCCCTTTTTTTTTGTCTCCTCCTCTCTGTCTCACTTTTTCTCACCTCACCTTGTTCCTCCAACACAGAACTATCACCAATCTGCTGAACGCCAAAGAAGTTGGCATGAAGATCTTTGAGGATTATGCAAATTCCTGGGACTGGATTCTCATGTAAGAACGATTGACATGTTTCTGCTTCTTTTTGGGAAAGGTTTGATTCTCTGTGAGTGCAGAAAATTATCTGAGCTGTCAATTAAATTAATGATTAAAGCACCCTGTAACTTTTACATGCAAAGAGTTCTTACTGCCCTAGTTGAATTAGCACTTGATTAGTTCCTTTTTACATACAACTTTCTAAAACATTGATTCAAATGTATTTACCAGTCAATTACAGCTCAGGTCCCAGTATGTTTGTTGTTGCAGTGGTCTGGTGATAACCATGGTGGTTAGTCTGGTCTTCATCCTGCTGCTGCGCTTCACTGCTGGTGTGCTCCTGTGGCTCATCGTCTTTGGTGTCATCACTGCAGTAGCCTTTGGTAAGCATGCACAATATTTCTTAAGCGACCTTAGAAGTGGATACTTTGTACGAAAGTAATCTCACATAAGAGGGAGTGATGTACTGAACTGCAGCACAGCAGTGCAGCAGGCCGAGTGTGGATGACAAATCACAGTCGCGGATATTGACTACCTCAGCCTTGATGTTGCTGTTATACAACACTTCTACAAGTAGCACATGGTTAACAGTAATAAACAACAACAAATTATTATTTCTTGCTCTACCAACTCAACCAGTTCCAAAAATGGTTTCTCCTGCACTCTCGCTGCTGTGTTTGTGTCCACATGTTTCCACAGACCTGCTACTTAACAATGTACATTCATTTCTCTGTTTTCATTTACAATACAACCAAGGGAATAAGTGTCTTTTGTGGGAATCAGAAGTCCATGATGAGAAACAAAGACTAACTCTGTACTCGCTGTAATGCTTATTATGTGTATTCAGAACAATGGGCAGAGTGACACACAGTGAAAAGTCCCACTGATATTGTAGTCTGTTTCAGCACTTATAAAGCCTGTTTACCCCTCTTTGCTTGGTCAGAACTTACTGCTATATGATAAGTCAACATGTTGAAGTTGTTGCTAACATGCTTAACTGTTGACATTCTCACCTTCCTTTCTGTTAGCAGTTCTGTTGTAATGAGAAAATGCATTAGGTTTAGACTTTTCTTACCTTAATTACATTTCCGAGCACATACTCTTTCCTTCTTTTGATGTCGCTCAGGAATCTGGCACTGCTACTGGGAGTACGCCACCCTGAGCGGGAAGCCGGGTGCTAACGTCACCATTTCTGATATCGGCTTCCACACGGACTTCAGCATTTACCTTCAGCTCAGCCAAACGTGGCTCATCTTCAGTAAGCTGTCAACCCTTACCTTAACTTTGCCCTTTAAAAGCTTCCATTGCACTTTAAACATGTTGTATTTGACTGACTAATAAAATGTCATTTGTAATACAGTGATCTCGCTTTCTGTGATTGAGGCCATCATTGTGGTCATGCTGATATTCCTGAGGACGAGGCTGCGCATTGCTATTGCATTACTGAAGGAGGGGAGCAGGTGTGTGTGTAACCTCTGTTAACTCCTTCAAAATGTAGCATGGATTTTGACTCTTTGACTTCAGTGTACAGAACACAATGAATAAAGATTTTTGCTTTTTCTTGTTTTTTTTTAGGGCCATCAGCTACATCATGTCCACTCTCTTCTATCCTATCATCACTTTTTTCCTTCTGGCCGTCTGCATCGCATACTGGGCCGTCATAGCAGTGTATCCTTCATGACGAGTCACGGTTATATTCAGAGAAGTAAAAATAACTTCACCACTTCTGTGTAGTCGGTTGTAGTTGTGTTTAGATTAATCACACACCCTTGTAGTTACTATATTCATTGCTTCCTGCACTTGGTGATTAATATATGTCCCTCTAAAAAAAACATTCACATAGACCGAGCTTCGTGTTTGTAGTATGTAACTAAAGTGTATTATTAGACTGACTATATTTTAATAATAGTAGTTGATAGTTGTGTGGTGAAAACGTCCCTCTGTGTTACCTTTAACTAGTTTGCCCACAGCTTCTTAGCATCCTCTGGTAATGCAGTCTACAAGGTCACACCTGCTGACGATAAATGCATGTACTCCAACATCACATGCAATCCCAAGGTTAGTTTCAGTGCTCTGCATTTACCAAAGGAATAATCTGTCTGTCTAGAAAAATTAAAAAGAAAAAAAGCAACCAGTGCCACTTCTATATCTGGACATTTTCTCTTCCCTATTTTGGTCTATGAGGTTTTTCTTGATCAGCCTTTTATTACATTCATAATAGAAATCAATCAAAGAGAATTTATGGTCATAGCTCCTTCTTGTAGCTCCCAGTAAAGTCGAGCTGGCAGTGTGTTCTGTGTTCAAACCGTCTGAATCAATCTCTAATGCTCCAGTGTTAATAGAGTTGACATTAGTTGCTGACAGCAATAAATGCTTATGTGACAGGAGTTTATTATCAGCCTGAGGACCCACCCTGGTTTGTAGAAGGCCCTGTAAGCCTTTTATAGGATTTATATGCTTACATGCTATGTGCTCACACAACTTGGGAGATTGGGAAATAAATTGTAAATGACTTTTGAGCGTGCAAAATAGAGGAAGAGAAAAACAAACAAGAAGAGACAAAGTGGCACAAGTTGTTTTTTGTTATTAAGTTGTTTTCCCTGCAATCTGTTAAATGGCAAATTAAGCGGGATATCTGACACATTAAGATCAAATCTGCGGATTTCTTTCAGACCTTCCGTCAGACCAACATTACCAAAGTGTGTCCTGGGTCCCAGTGCATGTTTGCCTTCTACGGAGGGGAGAGTGTGTACCACCGCTACATCTTAGTCCTCCATCTGTGTAACCTGTTCGCCTTTCTCTGGCTGGTCAACTTCACCATTGCACTGGGTCAGTGCACACTGGCCGGGGCATTCGCTTCCTACTACTGGGCCCTGAAGAAGCCAGGCGACATCCCTGCATGCCCCCTCTACTCTGCTTTTAGCAGAGCCATACGGTAGGGAGCTGTTATTTCATCTGCATTGGCTGAATACAATCTGAGATTCTCCCGCAAAATCTTCAGATATCTATTTCTCCCGTCTGTGTCTTGTTACCACAGTTACCACACAGGTTCTCTTGCCTTTGGTTCTCTAATCCTCGCTGTGGTGCAAATGATCCGAATTGTCCTTGAGTATCTGGATCAAAAACTTAAAGGTAAGCTGTCATTCACCTTCTCACTCTTCCTCCTTCTAACACATTTTAAATGATCATGTCAAGTTGGGTTGTTGATGATCGACAATGTCTTTCCAGGTTCTCAGAATGGATGCGCTCGATTTCTGCTTTGTTGCCTCAAATGCTGCTTCTGGTGCCTGGAACATTTCATCAAGTTTATAAACAGAAATGCATACATTATGGTGAGTTCAGAAAGATAAATCTCTTGGCACATAGTATCTGCTAGCAGTTCATCTGCTTGTGGCCTGTTTGTTACCCTCTAACGAGTACGTTCTGCTTTTTCTTCTCACCACAGATAGCAATATATGGGAAAAACTTCTGCACCTCTTCCAAGGATGCTTTCTTCCTCTTGATGAGGAACGTTATTCGGTAAGAACTCTCCTTCTCCTCCTTATCAGCCCTCTCACCGTTGTGTTTTCAGTGCTGTGTGTACTCTCACTGATCTCTCTTGAGTGTCAGTGCTTGACATTGCCTTCTTTATTTCTCCTCCACTTTTCTCTGCGTCCTCTGTAGGGTGGCTGTCTTGGACAAGGTGACTGACTTTCTGCTCTTCCTGGGGAAACTGCTTATTTCAGGAAGTGTTGGTGAGTTTCATCAGGATGAGACGTGCTCCTGAATATTAAAAGGATGATAAATTCGCTCATGTACTTTATTTCCACATACACTGTTTAAATGTACCGTTGCACAGGATGTCTGTTGGCCTTTGAAAGCACAACATGTACATTTAAGGGACAGACACCTTGCACACTGAGTCTGATGCTTTTATTTTTCTATTAATTGCGTAAATTTGCACAAGAGACTAAATGTCTCGTGCTCATCATCATGCAGAGTGATCAAGCAGTGAAGTTGATTTTGTGGTTCCTTCACTACTTGAAAAAAATCAACGGGGACCGCCTACATGAAAACAAGACAAAAACAAGGAGGGTTTCATCTGTTGATAAAGGAGCTGCAGAATTATGCAGATCGCTTCCAGGTGTATTTCACTTTGTCCCACATTCCAGTTTGATTGCTAACTAACACACACATTTAAAAGAAAACCACCAATTCCCTCAAAGCTATTAAGCCTGAGCAGCGGCTGGCAGCATGTTTGAGGTATTAATACTACAGACACACACACACACACACACAGCAATGGATGCTAAAAAAACGCATAAAACCTAACCTGTTCCAAAATAAATAATAATGGACGAAAGTGTCTGAGTCAGTGTGCAAACATGATTTTAACACAACATGAGATCTTATTTCTTTTTTAACGGGTCAATCTTGGACAGAATAAAACGGACTCAGTGTGCAAAGGCTTTTAGACTCCCTGCACAGAATATGATGATTGAAGGTAAATAAATAGTGTTACATTTCATCCACTAACTCGGCTACACTCTTTTTGTTACTCTTTCCTCTTTTCTTTGGTTTTCTAGGCGTTCTTGCATTTTTCTTCTTCACTCGTAAAATACCGGTCATTCAAGAGGAGGTGCCGTCCCTAAATTACTACTGGGTGCCACTCCTGGTGAGGAAATTCAAATATGAAAAAAATCTAACCTGTTTTTTTTTTTTTTTTTTTTAAACCAGCATTAATAACTTGAAGGCAGAATTGGGTTTCTTAGGAAGAATGAGCTGAGCGTGCTCATTGAAAACTTTCTCACAATACAGTTTGAAAAACTTTCAATGGAGTTATTTTCCTCCATTTCCTTTCTCAGGGTTAGTCAGTACCTTCCAAAGTGTTCCTTCAAATGGCTTTCTGTTCAAAGAGCTGTACTGAAAGATACAAATCTGACCAGGGTGTTTCATTTCAGTTACTCCACATTCCAATTATCCAGATCAGATAACTGTTGCACCAGCAAATTAGTTTAGTTAAATGTTTTGTGGACCACTTGCTTAATTTGATTCTTGATGTTTTTGTTATGTGCTTGCCTGAGGCAAACAATTGTTTCCAGAACAGAACAATGACTGTGCGACGTTTCGATTCTTTCAGACGGTGATATTTGGATCGTACATGATTGCACATGGCTTTTTTAACGTCTATGCCATGTGTGTGGACACATTGTTCTTGTGCTTTTGTAAGTATGCCATTTGATTATCTTAACTCTTCGACCCCCCCCCCCCCCCAACATAAAAAAGATACATTGCCATTTACATAATATTTTTTCTGGTGTCACTCAAAAAATCTATTTTTCTACACATTTCTTCTTACCAAAATACCTTTACAAATTATCCAGTAGGTGTGTAATCATGATTTTTGAAACATGAAATTTAAATTCCCCCGCCCCCTCTCTTGGGAACTATAACACTAAAAGACAACTGAAACTGATTCTTGCTCGTTCAGCTCTTTTTAACTCCTGCATGACCTTTTTGATAATTAATCTCTACTAAGTCTTTGCTCTTCTCTCTTTTTTTTTCCGGCTGTAACTCTGTCTGCTATTCCTGCTTCTCCTCTCCTATGCTGGGACCTGGTCTCAGGTGAAGACCTGGAGAGGAATGATGGTACTTCCTCCAGGCCCTACTACATGTCTCCTGGCCTGCACAAAATCCTACGTAAAGGAGAGGAGGGCGCCAAATTATGTGCTGCCTCCTGAGCAATGCACGCCTTTTTTTAACTGAACTTCTTACTCTCCCAATCACTTCTCCATATCTGCTGTATGTGTTGAGGTTTGGACGTTCGAGAGCGAGTATTGTAGGGCTACACATCAAAACTGGATTCATCCACGCCTGGTCAGAGATGACCCGGACATAAACGTGCTTTTACTTCAGATCCTCAAAGAAAAGGCATGGGGGACTAGAAAAAGACTTCAGTTTACTTCCTCTCTTGAGCAAACTCAGATTCTTGCTTTTTTTTTCTTCTGCCATGCTTCTGTTCTTTTTTTGTTCTTTGTATTCTCTGCTGACCTCTGCCTTACTGAGAGGGAACGGGTAAAACTGGCAGGATGAACAACCAGGCTGAGATAAATACCCTGACAAACATGAGGACCTTGAAATGTACAGATGCCACTGACGGACATAAGGCATTGGGTAACATCCAGAAACAGTGGTGGACTTATGGGACACCCTCTTGTCGCACTTTGGTCTTCTAGTGTAAAAGTGTATGCACTTTCACATATGGGAAAAGAACCATGTGATTAATTTCCTCTGTCGAGCATGATTACGTTGCTGGCTGTTGATGTTTACCATTGGTTTTATAGGTTGCTTCGATCCACCATATTTATACTAACACGAACACAAAGATCCAAAAATGATGTGTAATTCTGCACTTGCAAAAGGTTCTCTTATTTTACATCATTTAAAAAAAAGTCACAATCATTTCAAAGTTTCCTTTATGGTCATAGTTGTACTGTAAAAGACTTTGTGGGAGGTCAAGACTTCTGAGGACATAATCGAGTTTTTGCTTTAACTTTGAAAAGAACCTGACCGTTTTTCAGGAAACTTCTGAATGCAGCCACTAGTTTATGTGCCTAGTTGTGAAAAAAAAAAAAAAAAAAAGTCAAATAAAAATTGTTTCTTCTTCTTCTGTGGTTTTAGACCTAACACCAGGAACCTTTTGAGATACAGTTTATAAAAGGATGTCAAAGCCATTTTTGGTAATTTTTTTATTGGATGGTTCAGATGTAGTGCTGTTTTAATACTAAGTATAATACACGCATCTCTCTGGAGGTTATTCTGTGTTCTTTTTGTATAGGAGAATTTTTTTATCGATGAAATCCAATGAAAATGTGAATCATTTTTTGGAAAATAAACATAAATGGTTTGAGTATTGTCTGATGCAATTTCATAGTACATATATTATTCATATACCAGAGCTTAATGATGGGAGTGTTATTCTGTATCTAACATGGTACCGCTGCTGCCTCCTAGTGTGGGACCTGGAGGTGAACGACGGCTCTCCTGAGAAGCCCTTCTACATGAACAGGAACTTGAGGAGCATCCTCGACAAGCGGAACATCCAGAGGCCGAGCCGGAGATAGAGAAGAGACGAGAGCTGGGAGAATAAGAAGACTGACAAGCTTTTACCAAAGCATGGTACATGCCATTACGGCAATAAGCATTTTACCAAATATAAATTCAGTGTATGCAAGTTATACACTATAATGGAAAACTCTTGATAAGTAACAATAATAATTAGATTTGCCAACATTTTTAAAAGGTATGGACTTGATAGGGAATGTAAGGCTCCAGAACTCAGTCTGCCAAGAAGGTTTTAATAATGGATGGTGTGCAATGCAAAGTCGCACCTGCTTTATGTAATTGTCTTTTTTATGTTACAACAATGGCTCACAAGTTTTTATTTATTCTAATTTTATTTATTTTGCTTTTTATATCATTTTTTTACAGCCTCAGTCAAACAAAACACAGAGTTCCTTTAGGAACAAGGGATTTATTTCTTTCCTTCTTGAGACTAGTTAACATCTGCTCGTTTTGTTCTTAACCTTGTAGTTGCCAGTTTTCACCACTTGGTTGTGCCATCCCATCGTCTGTGTACTGTTGTTGAGGCATGAATGTGCTGCTGATTGAGCTGAGTTTGCCCATGAAATGGTCAGACGTGATCTCCTTTACAGATAACTGATCACAGTTTTTGACCTCAAATTGTCTCACATTGAGAAACAGAACTGCCTTTCAGTGCCCCATGTTTTAGAATGTAACTGTCGAGTACATGAAAGTAAAGCCTCCCACAGTGCTTCACTCTCTCAGGGCCCTTCTCTCAGAACTGCCACATTAAGTGAATAATTGCATCTTGCAGCTACCGTTTACATTTTAAGATGCTTCTCTGCAGATGTTTTCAAAGAACTTGAAAGAATTATGGTCAGCGGCCAGTTTTCTGGTGATGCAACAAATCCAATGAAACAGTGAATGTAACCATTACTAAGTGTGTAATGCACTGATTGGCAGCTCTATTAGTGATCCCCAAAAAGAAACATGATAAATATATAATACTGTTATAGTTAGACATGAAATCTTTCTCTCTCTTTTTAAAATTCACATAGAAGCTATGAAGCTAGTTTGAAAAAGTGTTAAATGTGTCACTTTTGTTCGAAAACAGGGCTGGTCCCAAACCGTGTTACTGAGTAATCAAGTCATCAGTCATACAGAACTGTCCTTTGTTAAAGAGATTGATTTGTTAATATATTATTTGCATTGGTTTTCTCCTTTAGTTGACGCACATGAGGGGGAAAAGAATAGATGCTTTTGAAAAGCAGCCAATATCATGTGAGGTTGTTTGAGCCGGTGATCTGTAAGATGCTGTTGTGTCCATCTTCAGTTGAATTGATTGAGTTTGGGTGTCACCAAGTGGTTTTACATAACAGATCCTTCTGTGTCACTGGAATCAAAATAGTGCTGAGGTCTTCTTTTTCTAGAATAGATTCATGCATCACTAGGAATGATGCTCACTTTGAGATCAGTGAGATGTGACTCACTCTTTTGAGTCTCTGTTTGTGGAAACTAAGAAGCTGCCCTCATGGTGCCTCGGAGTGACAGCACTGCCAGCCTCACACACCTTTTGCCCCTGTCTGAGCTCAACATGCTGGGACATGTAACCATTCAATTTGAGCAAAACAAATCTGCTTTTCTGTGAGAAAGCAGAGGAATGATGCAAGTAGTGCTCATGTGGCATATTGTCATTCATGTTTTGATACTGAAAAATGACTATACCTATAAATTTCTATCTGTGTGCACACAGTTCAGGTTCAGTTTCATGAGGGTGAATACCTAAGATCTGATAAGTGCAGTAAAAAGTGTGGTTTTATACGCCTCCCCAACCCTCCCATGTGTAGATTCTTTTGGTCAACCACAGTCAACAAGTAGACACAAGTAAACATTCTCTCTGTGCGTCACTTTTCTAACCACAACCTCCTAAAAGTCAAACTGAAGATGTAGTGCTCTAACCTGTCCATAAATCCCTTAGTGTTTTTGTCATATTTGTGTAGAAAGCTGAACATTTATATCTCCCAGAAATATATTTATTTATACAGTGAGATAAAGAATATATAACCTGTGTGTATGTTCATCATTAAAATATACATGTGTTTTATTACCTCTATTTTTGATCAATAAATGGATTTTCTATGATGCTCTTTCTTCTTCACAGACTCAACACTGAACCTTGCAGAATGTCATATTTGTTGTGTCAAATATCTGTTATTAGTCATTCGTCTCCAAGATTTGTGAAATTAGACATTTATTTCCAAAACAGACATCACATACATTCAATAAATTAAATTGCAAATATTTAAAACACTGCTATACAAACAATTTCAAGTTCACCTTCATAATGAGTCAAGATTTTGTGTCCTGGTTGGCTATCGCAGTCAGACAGTGTCACCAACTACACAAACGAATAGAAATCTGTAATGGTGTGTGTCACAATCCTATGAGGTACACAGAAACCTTTCAATTTCCACATTGCATCGTACATTTAGGACTGAAAATAATCGTCAACAGAAAGGAGTTTTCAAAGGATATCAACGTGATAAAAATACTGACAGTTCAGGGAAAGGAACGCGTTCATCGTCACTTAAAATCAAATTCTATTTACACAGGGAAATGAATACGGCAGCTCCAATTGTTGGATGATCACTTGTAAAGATGTGGGTGTGTATGTTTTTGAGTTGAGCAGCTCAGGTGTGAGACACAGGCATGGAGGTCATGGCGTGGGCGGGCAGCAGCGGTTGAAACATGGATTGAGGAGAGTGTACTGCAGGAACACAAAAAGAGAAGTTTAAACAGAGTTCATGAATGATAGTAAAACAAATACAGTGTTTGTAATTTCATTACAGGTAAGATCAATGGGTTTTACTTTGAGGTGAAAAACACAAGAATGCAACAACGAAGGTGTTTCCACAGTCATGAACAAGATAAGTCAATTAAATAAAGTCATACACACCGCAAAGCAAACATTATTAACCACACAAGGGATTACTCACACACACACACACACACACACACACAAAGATTATTCGTATGCTTGGGAGAAAAGATAGGTTTTGAGTTTTGCTTTAAAAGTAGAGACAGTAGTCATGGAGCTCAGGTCAGTAAGACGTTTGTTCCAGAGAGAAGGACCACAATAATTAAAGTATTAAAATACTTTGAGGCAAACATTTGAGTGTGATGAACTCTCTAAACACTAAAATAATCTCTACAGTGTACTGTACTGCCGCCAGGCTTCTAATATTTACAAAAGGAAGAGACTGCATTACACCTGTTCTTCTCTAACTGTAAGTTTAAGAACTGATTTTAAGATCTTAGCGTTGGTTTGTAAGCCTTATATGCAAGGCCTCACCCTAAATCTATGATTTGCAAACCCCCTATGAGCCTGATCACTGCCTAAGATACTCCATCAGGACCCTACTAATGGTTCCTAAAACTCGACTGGTCACAAAAGGTGACAGAGTCTTTGTAAAATTTGGCCCCACAGCTGTGGAACTCCATGCCTGGAGATCTCATCACTCCACAAAACTCACTTTCATTCCTTAACTGTTGGCATTGTTGTTTAATTTTTTACCAGGTTGTTATTGATATTTGTTTAACTGGGTTTTATATAGCCTACCTGTTTATTAGCTTTATTTATAGTTTTATTATTTGTTGATTTGTATATTTGTTTTTTACTTCTCTGGTTGGTTTTTAATAGTTAAGCACTTAGTAACTGAGTTATTATCATTATTATGAAGAAGAAGAAGCCAGGACTCACTGTCTATGAAGGAGTGCAGCGCAGAGAGCATTGACCCCTCCGGGCCTCCGTACGTGGTGTACTGAAGCTCCTCAGGGGTCGGGGTGGGCTGGGACAGGAGGCTGGGCTGCAGTGAGCTCATGGGGGTGCTGGAGTTGTGGTTTGGGCTCACGTGCTTCTTGTGGCGAGCTCGACAATTCTGGAACCAGACCTGGGTTAACAGGATAAATACCTTTATGAAGGATGCATTTCAGAGACACCAAATGAAACATAATTACTGTTGTTTGATGTGTAAGCTCTGAACAGTACAAGCTTTAATATCTGCGGACGGTGGAGGACTTATGATTGCCCCCCTTCACGTGTCTTAACCTTTCATTTATGTTTTTTTGAGATACATTAAATGAATCATTGGGAAGTGGTTAAACACTTGAGTACAGCAACTCAATTATTTTGTATTTATTTGTACTTTAACAGAGTATTTCTATAATATGCTATATTTCAGAAGAAATAAGTATTTTCACCATTAGAATTACAGGCAATATTTTATAAACTGTAATCCTTGTTGATTAAAGCCGTTGTAGACAACTTCAGAGAAACCAACTAGTATCTGTATGTGCACTGTCTCACTCATGGTGCAGGAGAGAGAGCAGGGCAGGTCCATGAGAGAGCGTTGGGGAGAGGAGCTATGAGCATCCTCGTAATTCTTAACCACATCCACATACCTTTCTCTGCCTTCTGACTAGTGTATTTCATTTACTCTGAATAAATAGAATGAACAGATTTTTTTAATTATTATCATAAACAATTGTAATTAATATGTATATTTGTCAGGTTGTAAAGAGAAACTTCAAAATGTAACAACAAATGTTTCTAGAATAATTTCTCGTCCTGGCTTTCTTATTCTTCATTGAATTAAACATACAATCAACCATGGAATATTTACTGACCTGAATGACTCTCCGGCTGAGGCCCGTCTGCTCGGCTAGTTTCTGCAGCGTCTGAGCGTCTGGATTGTTGTCCTGAGCAAACTGAGCTTGCATCACCTGCACGGTCAGGGGTCAAAGCAAATCTAATAAATAACATATAAGTTATCAAATCTTCATTTAAAGGGAACTGCTGCTTATAAATCATGCATTTTAAATAAATATTGACAAATGAGAAATGAGAAAATTAGATTAGATTAACTTTAAATAATGAGAAATATAAATATATATTGTCAATCTTAAATTGCATCGATGATATTCATAAATTATTTTATTAAACTGGATAATTTACACAAGCTGAATTAACGCCACTGGACAATGATCAAATTGATAATATAATTAAGATAGAAAATCTTCATCACATATAAAAAGGTTGTTCAAATCAACACCACTTAATTTTGTTGTACCTTTAATCTATTTTTTCTTAAAACAATGCCCAACCTGTCAGGGTAGTTAAACCACTATTTAACAGCTTACTGTACACACATTATTACTGATTTAAAATCATATAGTTAGGAAGCCTCCTTTTCTGGACCAATACTAAAGCAGTGTGGTTGAAATATTTCCCAATCATTAAAAGAGTAGAGTGAACCACATTTTCCATTGTGCGCTTAGTGGAGGAGGTTGGTGTCTTTTTTCTTTGGCCAAAAATATGTCATGTATTGATATTACTGCAGAGATGTATCAATCGGTGTGTAATGTTTGTATTAAAGAAGGTGAACCTGCAGCTGGTCAGCAGTGAAGCTTGTCCTTGCTCTCTTGGAGGGTTTGGGCTGGTTTATCTCCTGTTCAGTGGGAACAGCTCCCTCCATGTTCACACTGTTTCCTGAAACAAGGACAGATTCTGACATTAACACATCTGGAAATATTCAGCACAGATTTATAAGTATTATTTAGAGTTGGAAAATGTGTTTTTATTATTTTTAAAAGATATTTAAGCATTAATTAAAAAAAGAACTATGTGCAATTACCATATTTAAATAAAGTCGATTATTAAAAATTGACAAAACATCTATAAATTCAGTTTAGGCCTTTTGGTAATTTCAATGATTTATTATAGTAAGAACAGGAGACAAACAGAACGCTCAACTTATTTTTGAGCAACATGAAGCGAAAGGGTTATCTTCTTTTTATGTCAATTTTTCAGACAGAAAAGGAATGGATGTGACTTTTTATGTTTATAAAAGTTCAAAATCTGCAGGACAGTCTCGGAAGTAATCGTATTTAAAGCAGGCTACTGTTCCCGCCTTTAAATATGCTCTTTTAGATTTAACTCAAAAATAGTTCTCCGCTTATTTTTTTACTTTGGCGCAATCCGCGACACCTTAAAGCTCACCTTTCTCCACGGCCCGCTTGAGGTTGTCCAGCATACAGTCGTAGTGCACCCTGCACAGCACCTTCTCCTCCACGAGAGCAAACTCCTCCCCGGTGGACAGTTGCCTCTTGCAGGAAAAGCAGGCGAAGCAGGCCAGGTGGTACACGTTCCCCTTCGCCCGGCGGACCCAATCCGTGGAGTGGATGTTCCGGCCGCAGCACGCGCACCAGGTGCCGTATCTTCTGCAGGTGGAGGTCAGGGGGAACGAAACAGAGACACCCACATGAGCTGCACAAGGGCATTAAAGGCGGCTATTTTTGTATCGTCAATGCTTTTTTTATTTTAGTTTTTGCTCAAGGTATTTTTTTTTTCGAACTTTCGATTTCTGCTTTCTTTCTTTCTTTTTAATTACAAAAAAAAAATCGTTTTCGGAACTCCGAATTTGAATTGTCGTTAGGCTAAAAAAAAAAAATCGATGCACATACCGAAAGTAATCCAGTTTACAGAAAACCTCTTTTTCTTTGATGTAACAGCTCGTGCTGCTGCCAAGTGAAGTCTGGCACACGCTGCAGGACAGACAGCGCACGTGCCAGCACAGGTCGTTCACCTGGAGCAGAGACGGGACAAATCAGCCAAAGTCAATCAGTTAGAAAGGAGGCCTGTTTATATGACCCTAAAATCCAAACAAGAAGAAAAAGACCCATGATAGGCAATAATAATAATAATAATGATAATTTTTTTTAAAAAGAGCTGACATTGTTGGGCTACCTTTAATAAATATTTATCCACTATTTCTTCATTGCAGCTCGCGCACACAGCTCTGCCCAGCAGAGGTGCAGAGGCCATCGTCTGCAGCGAAGACGCATCCTCATCCAAAACCTCCACCGTAGCACCCTGAAGACATCAGACCTGCGGTTAGAAAATTACCTACATACCTCCGTAAACTGCACGAGTTACATAACATGTTAGAACTCAGTTCACCTGCTACTGTCAACAACACCAAACATGAGACGCGTCTGAAAACTGGCAAATGTTATTTCTACCAAATCGTTATTTTCACAACCATTTTCAATATTGAAAAGAAGATTGTCTCACTCTTAGCATGGGGTACTTTTTTTTCAACCAGTTATTGTAGTCTATGTCAAACTTTAAACTTTTAAGTTTAACATGAGGCTATGCAGTATGGCTAGCATTACAAATAAAACAAAGTGTTCCTATTTTATTGTCCATGGTTTACAGATATTTAAAGTTAATTGAAATGGCCTCCGGTTAATTAGTCTATCAACCTGTTTTTGATTTAAAAAAAAAAAGGAGGTAAAAAAAAAAAAGAATTAACCACGACACTGTGTTCCTACCATAATGTCTCTCCTGTCCTCAGCGCATTTGCCTAGCAGCGCTTCTTCTCCTCTGCAATCTTCACACATGACGAGAAGCTACGGCGGGAAGAGGACGTTGCTCTGTCAGACTGCAGCAGCTGCCTTAAATGCCCCCTGCCTCTCCCCATAAATATCATGCCTTTCACCTTTCACCATGACAACGACGTCGATTACCAGAATGACATTTAAAATAGAAGGATAGTCATTACTTACGAAAACAGACAACACTTGAACTAATACTTATCCTATGTGCATTATGATCTTCAGATCTGCATTTGTGTGATTCAGCACCTGAATGCTGCCCGCGCGCGTGCTGCGGTTAAACCCCAACACGCAATTTCACGTGTCAATCAAAAAGCCAGCGCGAGGTCTCGCGGAAAAGGAGGATTGATTTTTTTAATAACAGCAATTAAAAAGGCTTAGTTCGCCACAAACGTCAAACCGGGGCAAGCAAAAGGTGAAGAGGTCTCATTAACTACTTGAGTTTTAATTGCAGAATTCAGGGAGGGGTAATTTTATTCGACATTTCTTCAAATTGTGAAAATACTGCTGTCAGCGTGTTGAAGGCCGGTTTTAATGACAGACTGAAGCCCACTTTGATTTAATTGGCAAAGCGATTACGACGAATATTAAGTCTTTACACTGAGTCACACCACAACCTGCTGCTATCAGAAACACATGTCTTAAGCTGTTATATTAGGCTACTCACCTCATCGTTGGACAACACAGATCCGCTTTCGTCCTCGCTAACTGTGCAACACTCTACCTTAACTTCACTTTTCCAGCGCATGTCTGTGTCTTCACACTTTCTAAAGCGCCTTTCTTCTGTGGTTCACCTGCGGGATTCCTCTGAGTGGCAATCAGTCTGCCCTGTGCTGCTCAGAGGGCGGATCATAACTCATATCTTTCTTTTTCTCTTTGACCGCGCCTCCCTCTGGGAATAAGCATGATGTGCTTGGTGAGAAAACACGTCTTAGTTTATTCTTAAAAATACCTTTCAATGCATTTTTTATTTTAAAAAAAGTGCATTCAGACCGAAACATGTAGCCTACTTGACTTGAGGATTATAGTTGTTGGAGGTTATATTTTGTACCCCTCTGCACTGTATTTCTGAAATCATGTTGTTGGCTATTACTCCACTACAGCAGGTAGTTATTTCTTTAGATTAAGATCTTATGGCCACAATATTTGATTATCTTCTAACAATTAGGCTATACATTATTATAGGGTAAATATATCCTACAACAATGTTCTATTAATTCAGTTAATAATGTAGTAGGTCTCAGAGGGGGGAGTTTTTTAAGTGAATGTGCCACTTATAAGGTGTGCCTTCCACCCATTAAAATAGTAAGTACAGGACTTTTATTTGCCATGAAGTATTTTATAATCATGCCTGCCACTGCTGTTACTCTAGAAGAACTACATATACCTGTCTCTTCAAGCGAACTATGATCTGCTTGATGAAGGACTGTTATCCTGCCAGTTTGCTCTCACTGAATATCAATGATGCAACTCAACTTTACTTAACAGTATAAGATCATGGTCAGGGTATTGGTTACCAATCAAGCTGGACCATTGAAATGAAACCAGGTCTCTTTTGACCAGTTGCATAATGTAGTTTCTCTGGTTATGGCAGGTTAAAAAAAAAATGTTAAAGGTTGTTTTTCTCCTTACATTATTTAGGAGTAAAAGAGGTCAAAGTATTCTATATTCGTCAAAGAAAGAAAGCAAACATTTGAGTAAAACTGACCAAAAAAAAGAGTGAGTGAATCTCCCAATTTGGGAACTATTGCTTTGGGGTCCAAGATGTAAAAATGTGCTATAGGACCTCTTGACATCAGGCCTAATGCCCTTAATGTTAAGCACCCTGATGCCCAAGTTCCCATGAAAGTCAACTCAGCCATATAGAATAAATCCTTGATATGTTGAAAGTTGATGAAGCACAAAAAATAAATGCAGAAATTGTGGTATAAAGTAAAATATAAACTAAGTTTTTGTTATAATAGCCTATTGCAAACATAACATGTACAACAGCAATTATTTCCCTAAGGGTTAAATGAAAATGTGTTTTGGTCATTTCAGTATTCATCAACCTGCAACCAATATACTCACCATCATCAAACATGCACACACAGTTTGTGGCAAATGGTGACTTTAACACTATTCAGCAGTGGACCTAATGGAAAAAGTACAAATATATCATTTTGTATTAGTCTTCGGCCATTTGCATGTTTTGTGTCTTCAGTTTCTTCTTGTTATATCAGACCCCTGCTTTAACTTTGTATGCAAATAACATCAGCTGTATTGAAGGGGAAACATGTTTCTTTGTAAGAGGAAGTGTAAATACTTTTTAAAGGATTGTCATCAGGAGATAAACAAACTCTTTGGGTTCCTTGAGAGAATACTGGCACTTGTTTCCTTTCTCATTTCTAACACACTCGTTCAGCAGAGTCGTGCACGTAATCCCACCCATCATTACCCCACACACACGCCCTATATTCTAGCCACACACACACACACACACACACACACACACACACACAGAGTAAGAAAAGCGTTTTTCTGTCCTCATGGTTAACAGACCTGCAGCAGCATGAGCCTGCATCCGTATCGCACCATCGCAGAGAGATAAAGGAGTTAGCGTGCCTCCATCGAGATGTGTCCTGTTCCACCTGGTGGAGATGAATGCTTTATATCAGATAAGACATATCAAACATTTCATGATGTGGAGCAGAGGGTTCACTGAAGCAGCCTGTGAGAAAAACAGACCTCAGTAAATCCTTGTTTCTGCAAAAGTCTTCGAGCAGTCTAGCACTTCATAGTATAACAAAGATCCTGAAAAGCTGCTTTATTTGTAATGATCTTGGAAGGAGACGTCCAACGAGAAGGATAGATGCAATGCAAGCAAAACACATAAAAACCTTTTAAGTATTTTGCTTAGAAAAGACAAATGCTCTCTCAGACATCGGAAAGTCTTTATCACTCCCCTGACCCATCTGCAGAAAGCATGATAAGGGCAGAGAAATTAGGAAAGATGTCAATCTTAGAGTGTAACTATTGCATGTTTTCATTTTCCATGTTGCACGGCTGACTTGTTAAATGTTTTTGCGTGACGTGGACCAGACAAAAACAACATCTCATCCTTCAGCAGGCTTACAAACCTGTTTGACTGCTCGGCTGCTTGGAGTTTGGCAGTGTGTGAAATGTGTTTGAGGCAGCTGCTGTTCAGTGAGATCTGTAAAAGACTCCATCTTTAGGTGTAGGAGGCAGGAGGTGTCAGTGACACGGTGGTTTAGATGATGGCAAGGTGTATTACCAGAGAGTCATCCAACTTTTATAGCCACACATAGAGCTCCTGTGAGGAGTTTTTAACTGGTTATGAAAGAGACTGAAATGATTACTGATAGCTCAATGTGGACCTACAAAAGCAAAAAAGACCTTCAGCAACAAGATTGTATTGGTCATGGCTGCAGGGTCCTTATCTAAAGAAGTGAGTTACAACATGCTAAAACAGACTTTTTTTACATTTCCCACAGCAAATATTCACTGTTAAAGGACAGCAGGATGAGATTTTTGTTATCATAACCATTACTTACACATGTACAGGACCGATCAGCAAAGAGACTAAAGTACTGCTTTGACCACAGTGCGGGGCTAGAGTCACAAAAAACTGAAAGTTCATCAAAGGGGCTTTGACGTTATATGTACCAAAAGTGGCTTTACAAGTACGAAGAACCTGAAACCCCAAAAAGTTAAAAAAAAAAAACAGATATTGTGCGCACAAGATGTTTTTTTTTATTTTTATTTTTGTTTTTTTTACTTTTGGGACTTCAGAGGCTCTGTACTACCAGTTATTGTCAGTCCATTATTAGACTTTACACTCACCTTTTATTCACAACCAGAGTGATTGTCATTAAAAGTAAAATAAATAACTCAAATAACTCATTAACCAAATTAACAATTGAGGATCCTGGAAATCCAGTGCAAACTTATACAGGTGAAAAGTCAACAAAAGTATTTGATCAGCTTCATACTCCATGACTTTCTCTAACTTTAAGAGAATCTCTTATTCACTTGTTTTGCCCACTGTCACTTTACAAAATCTATCATTTAGACCTCACAGAACAGTAACATGTCTACATAGAGGATAATACTTCAGAAATAGCAATGTATTTGTCTTTGATGGACTTTTTGTAAACCCATATAAAAATGCACATTATTTCCTTTTTAAGCCTAATATCATTGTCTCTGGCCATTTTCAAACTTAGATGCATGTTTGTGAAAAACAAAGGGTAACCACTTGAAAAGTTCTGTATTTGAGGTTTTGAAGGAGGAAATGCTAAATGTATAATTAAATGTAAAACAGATACATATGAACTGATAACATTCTAATATAAATTAATATCTGAAATGACAATTAAGTAATTGTTTCTCCATACAAACCAGTAGATAATGTTCATAAAACATGACAGTCTGTAATAAAAGGAGGAGACAGAGCACTCCTTTTTTATTGACAGAATATTTCTATTAAACCCACTCTCTCTCTAGGAAGCATAACACTACATCTCTAGACTCTCTCGACATGTCAAGGATGATTATTTAATCTATTTGAACTATTCTGGGTTCCATTCAGAAGTCCATTTTCAGATTTTTCGGTGAAAATTGGCACCGTTTTGCATTTTGCTGTTGTGAATGTGATCAGTTTTATTTTACTTTGCAGAAGTTTGATTTAAAAGGATAGAAAGAAAAATCCATTCAGAGTAAGAACGAGGAATGTGGGAGATTCTTCTGAAGTAAAGCACTGATCTTTTGGCCCCGGTGAATCTCTAAGAACATCTCCTAATTTCTTACTTCCACATGGACCTTTGCTTTCTTTTGGGGCTGCACCTCCTCATTTATTTCATTGAAATCAGTGAGAATTGGGGTGGTTTACAATTGACACAACGAGTTTGGCATGACCTTTTCTCCTTGCTGAAAATGGGTACTCATCTGAAGGGGGAGGTGGGGTGCTGGAGGAGGGGTGGGGGTGGGGTGGGGGGTGGGAGTAGAGGTGGAGTTGCGTTAGTTGAGGGCCGGTGGGGGATTGGGTGGAAATCACAGCAGTGAAAATGGCAGTGCGGTAAAAGAGGGGCCTGATTGCATTGGGACAGCGTGTGAGAGGGAGCAGCATGCTCAGCCCAATCAGAGCCACATAAGGAAAAAGGGCTCTTATCAACCAGTAATGGCCCACTTGACAATCACACAGGCACAAAA